TGGATTCCTTGGACTACAGCTGAGTGTGACAGTGGTCAGCCTGCTCTGCTCACTGCCTCATTAAACCCCAGTAGCCGCTTCACACAGCTCCCTCCAAATGGGAGCACCGTAGCTAGCCTCATGCGCGTGTGTACACGTGTGTGAGCTGCAGGAATCCGGAGGAGGTCACTGAGGCCTGGCAGCGTCCAGAGAGGGCCAGGTTACTGGCGGCTTGGTCCTGAGCAGGACGGCGGGGCTGACAGGGCTCCACAAGTCTGCACTCTGGCTGTGTGGAGCACGCCTTCCCATTAATCTATTTTCTTTATAGTTTTATTCATGAACAAAATGGAAGGACGAACTGCCACATCTGGTCTGATCAGGCAGGAGAGTCGAGGTGTCTAGAGCCAGGAAGAGCAGGGCATCCAATAGACAGGTTGTGCGGGCACAGGAAGCACTCAGTCAGAGCACCACACTGGCCGCCCGGGCCGAGACCCCAGGTGGTGCCACGGACCACAGAGTGCAGCCCAACTCTGCTCCGCCGGCTGTAAACGAGGGAGCGCTGGTGCGAGTGAGGTGCCTCCTGTGAGTTCCCCTCTGTCCCTGACCTCCGGGATGAGGTCTCAGGTCAGCTCTACCCTCACAGGGAAGAACCTGTGCTTTAGCCTGCGAGCTGCCCCTTCCTAGCCTGACCACTGCACTCAGTTCCCTCTGTGCTGGGGATGACTTGGGGTCACTATCTTTAATGCCCTTTGATCTGCGGGGTTCAGTGCTGCGTCCCTCTGGGTGTGCCGGCCCCAGAGTGTCTTCACCATGGTCGTGGCCCTGGCCTTGGCGTAGGCGTGACCTCCTCCTGCATGAACCCGTGTTTCTCTCTCCATTTCCCTTCTTCTGGAAACCCAAACCAGAGGGTATTAGGGTTAGGTAAAGGTGGCTAGGCAGACCCTGCTCCCAGGGCGCACAGGCTCCAGTGGGCCTCAGTGGGCCTCAGCGCCCGGGGCCTGGCCCTGGAAGACAGCAGGTGCTTGCTAAGAGATTCCTTAGGTGTCTGGTCTCTTATTAGAATAGTGATTACTTAGTTATAAGCTGAATGTCCCGTTCACAAACAAACCGAGATTCTGGAAATCCAAATAGTGACTTCTACTTCTGCCCTTTTCTTACCAGTTCTGATTAAATGGATCGATCATCCATCAGGTCGTTCCAGTTTTACATGCACTTTCTTATTTCATACTCAGTGTCACTGTTTTTCAGAGGAATCTGCTTAGTTCAAAGGCTCCTGTGCACTCTCATGGTTCAAATCAACTGGACAGTAGGCGGGGACGTGTCCGGCCTAGGCGCTGGCCCTGGCTTTTCTGGGAGCCAGATGTTTACATTCCTGGGAGAGGAAGGAACAGAGATGCCTTTCCTTCTTTGTGCCTGTTGGCCTTCCAGCTCAGCTGTGGGTCGCGGTCCGCTGTGGCTGCCTGTGCCTCTGCAATCTCCTTGGTATGCAGACTCCCTGCGGCCCGGCCCGCGGGCCCTGCACCTGTCAGGGACGTTATGACTCCAGGGGCCTTTCCAAAGTTGCTACCAGGAATGCTTTTACTTTTATGGTTCCTAAGGGTAAAGTCCACACAAGAGGAAAAGTCCTGTCCAGTATCTGGGCATGCTAGTGACATTAACAGGAGCGCTCCTGCCCTTCCACCCGAGAGCGGGCTTGTGACCTTGGACATCGGCATCAGTCCTGGGCCACCCGCTGCCCCTACTGAGCAGGCATCATCGCAGGGCTGTGTCAGACCCGCACTGGGACTGAGCTGTGCCCGTCCTTGCCCCCCACAGCGGAGGCGGGTGGGTGGAGGGAGCTGCCTCCTCTCCCTCCAGGGCACCTGAGGCGCTGTGCCTGTGGGGATGGTCCCACTCCCCTGCGCCTCCTCCACAGAGCTGTCCTTCCTCACGCCGACTCCCTGCTGGACGTCTGCTGGGCTTCTTAGGGCTGACCCTCCTCGTCCTCTGCCCTCCTCCTCGGCTCTCAGAAGAAGATGGCCTTCTGTAGCTCTCTGACAGGCTTCCTGCATTGCCTCTGTCCTGAAATAGCGGCTCTGCAGCCCTCCCCCTTCTTTTGTGTGTTTGAGAAATGGGAGCCTCTTCCTGTTACCTTGTCTGCTTGTCCTTAGTCCCATGACTCATCAGTCCGAGGCTTGTTGGAGGATAAGACACCTCTTGGACTACTTTCGCCAGACAGGGGTGTGGTAGGAGCTTTTAGGATGGAGCGAGAGGGCAGAGTTCAGAAAGCCCCCAGGAGAGCTCCAGCAGCACCGCGGGACTCACTGACCAAGGGATCCCATGCTGCCAGAGCCAGAAACCTGGGGAGCCAGAGGCAACAGACACGCGCTTGGACTGGAGGAAGAGGCTGCTGGTGCCCCTGCTGCCCCAGAGGAAGGCCCCGCCAGCTCTGCCAGCATAGGCCCTGCGGTGCAGCGCAGCCCGCCCAGGCGCAAGCTTCCTGCGAGGCACCGGCCGCGCTGGCTCCTGCCCCAGGCCCTCAGCCTCGTTGCCCGCGGGGCACCGGAACCAGGGACAGGAGTCCACACCAAGGCAGTCGTCCCCACGGGCAGGGGGCTGCTCAACTGCTGGTTCACCACTGGCCCACATCCTAGACGAGTCTGCAGTGTGTCTTCTTCTTCCCATTTTACTGTTGACCCCCTGCGCTACCCAGGACATGACTGGCTTCCCACAAAGGCTGCACCCGGCTTGCCCTGCCTTTCAGTCCACGACATTCCCGTCTGTTTTCCCTTGGCTTCTCCTTCTGATAAGGTCACATTGCCATTTGCTGTGGATTTCTGGAAATACCGTCCCACGGTGGACATGATTCTTAACCACAGTGAGTTCAGCTGTGGTGCTAGGAAATGCCCATCAAAGGCTGAGGCTGGAGTGCAGACCCCGTATGCCCATCTTTAGAAGAACACTGACCAGGTCCAGGACTCGTGGCCCCATTGGAAGAACACTGACTGGGATCCAGGGCTCGTGGCCCCATTAGAAGAACACTGACTGGGATCCAGGACTCGTGGCCCCATTAAAAGAAGGCTGACTTGCGCCCAGCCCCTGCATGGACCCATTCGTAGACTGACTGAGATCCAAGCCCTGCCTGGTCCCTTAGAAGTCTGACTGGGACTTAGAACCTGAGTGGCCCCATTAGAAAACTGATCAGAACCCAGACTCTGTGTGGCCCCTTAGAGGACTGACTGGGATCCAGGCAATGTATGGCCCCATTAGAAGTCTGACTGGGATCCAGGACCTGCATGGCCCCTTACATGTGTGACAGGGATCCAGGCTCTGCATGGCCCTTTAGAGGTCTGACTGGGATCCAGGCTCTGCATGGTCCTTTAGAAGTCTGACAGGGATCCAGGCTCTGCATGGTCCCTAGAAGTCTGACTGGGATCCAGG